GCTGTGGGGCGCAGGCGGGCAGAGCGCGGTGGGGACCCCGAGTTCGGGTGGGACCTCTGGCTGGGAAATACCGTTTCAGAGTCATTCGCACGCAGATGGGGAGTGAAGCCGGGTCGTGGCCGTGCCCAGGTGACGCAAACGGACCCACCACGGTCTCAATATCATGAAAGTAGATCGTGTCAGACGAATCCACTCGAGGGTTCGACCTGCTCTTAAGAAACCTGAACTACACTCCCTTCGCTGTCAAAATGTTTTGAAACTTAAGAAATTTCAAAACCACCCGCCGCGGCGGTCCTTAGACGTCTGTGTGGGGAAGGCTCTGGAAGTCCTGATGCTCGATGGACCCGGGAGTGGAAACGCCGGCTTCCAGCCCTGGCCCCTGTGGCCCGGCGGGTCGGGCGTCGTCCCATGCGCCCAGAGGTGCAGGCCCAATTCTTGCCGTCAGTCTTTCTCTCTCTCTCTCTCTAAATAAATCAATAAAAACATTTTTTAAAGAGAGAGGCACCCTTACCAGGGACCTCATGCCCCGAGGGTTTTCCGAGCGCTGTTGGCATGTTTTAAAGTTGCATTTCAACCCACAGAGGGGTTAGGGTCCAGTCCATTTGCCAAAAATAGGACAGGCAATCCGTTCAAACGTGAAATCACACCCGTGAGCACGGGGCTGAAGGACCGCAAGTGTTGAAGAACCACGTGTGCGTGGCGGGATCCAGCGTTGCCACGGATACTGCTTGTTTGTTTACGTGATGTGTTGCCTGAGCCTTCCTGAGGTGGCCCTGCTTGGTTTATGATGCCTGAGAAAATGATGACGGCTGAGGAAATACGACGTGTTAACTTATTTTTAAACGGAGAATTGGGAACCAATGACCAGTTTTTCCTTCTCTTTCTAAATCTTAGAGGACATCTGGGGACCGTGAAACAAGGAAGGGCCCAGGATACCAGGAGAGGGGCGAGTGGGGAGATGGGCCGAGGCCGGGCTGGCTTGCTCACTGAGAAGTCAGAGAAAGGGGGACTGCAGGCAGGTGCAGGCGGTTTGCCTGGGACGAGCTGCCGCACTTTTCAAATTTGGGGTGAAATAGCGTGGTCTGGCCAGAGACCTTCTTTCCGGCTCCCAAGGAAAAGAATGCGTGAGAACCCCAACTTAACCCGAGCTGAGAGGGGCTGAAGCACTTGCCTCGGGTCACAGACTTTCATTAATGACCGATCGCCTCTTTTGTAAAATCACCTTCAAAAGGTGTGCCAGCAGCATCGGGAGGGACACTAACGGATTCTTTCTCGGGGACGGAGCTTGCGGCAGATGACAATTTCCAACGATATCCCCCCTCCCCCGCTCTCTCGCTGCACTGGGTCTCCTCGCTCTGCACCTCCCCCCGGGGCCTGGGGAGGACCTTTGGGCTGAGTTGAGAGGCAGAATACATACAGACAGTCCTCGAGTTACGTCGGAGTCATCGTTTCATGGTTACGTCGCCATCTCCATTTATTTATAAAAAATAGTTCCGTCATTTCGACGTCTGTACGTGTGTGCTTTGTTTTCTATTGTTTAGTGACCACAAGTAAAGGTCAGGAATTGTTCTCTTCTAAATTGTTTTACTGTTTCCCTTCATTGCTGCCGTGTCTGTGCTCCCTGTGAGTGACATAGGTGCTTATGCAGGTGGGTTCCGACTTACAGCGAAAATCGCCTTACGTCGCCGTGGGAACGGATCTCGAACATAACCCGAGGGCCTGCTGTGTGTCAGACGTGACGATGCATGACTTCCGTGGGCCCCGCCTGGCTCTCTTTCCC